GTGACTGCTCATCAGAAACATAGAGCTCCAGGGTCAGGGCTATCTGCAGAAAGGTACGGGGAGAGAGAGAGGACACACTACGGGAGAGAGGAGACACAGAGTTAGTGATGTGTAATGGTGGCATATAGAAGCATAGGGAGAGGAGAGGGGAGGAGAGGGGAGTAGAGGGGAGAGAAACTCAGAGCATCATGGGGCCCCCAGCAGCCTAGGCCTATAGCAGCATAACTAAGGGAGGGCTCAGGGTCACCTGATCCAGCCCTAACTATAAGCTTTATCAAAAAGGAACGTCTTAAGTCTAATCTTAAAGGTAGAGAGGGTGTCCGCCTCCCGAACTGAGACTGGGAGTTGGTTCCATAGGAGAGGAGCTTGATAGCTAAAGGCTCTGCCTCCCATTCTACTTCTGTGGATTCTATGAACCACAAGTAAACCTGCACTCTGAGAGCGAAGTGCTCTGTTAGGATGATAAGGCTCTACGAGGTCTTTAAGATATGATGGAGCCTTGTCATTAAGGGCTTTGTATGTTAGGAGAAGGATTTTAAATTCTATTCTGAATTTTACAGGGAGCCAGTGGAGAGAAGCTAATATGGGAGAGATATGATCTCTCTTGCTAGTTCCTGTCAGTACTCTGGCTGCAGCATTTTGGATTAACTGGAGGCTTTTTAGGGAATTATTGGGACATCCTGATAGTAAAGAGTTACAGTAGTCCAGCCTGGAAGTGACAAATGCATTGACCAGTTTTTCATCATCACTTTGAGACAGGATGCTCCTGATTTTTGCAATATTTCGCAGGTGAAAGAAGGCAGTTTTAGAGACTTGGTTTATGTGTGATTTAAAGGACATATTCTGATCAAAGATGACTCCAAGGTTCCTCGCAGTAGTACTGGAGGCAAGAGCTATGTCATCTAAAGTGACTCTATGGTTAGACAGCAGATTTCTAAGGTTTTCAGGCCCAAGCACAATAACTTCAGTTTTGTCAGAGTTTAGAAGTAAGAAGTTGCAGGTCATCCAGGCCTTTATGTCTTTAAGACATGCTTGAAGTTTGACCAGCTGACCTGATTCATTTGGCTTCATAGATAAATATAACTGAGTATCATCTGCATAGCAATGGAAATTTATGTTGTGCTTCCTGATAATATTGCCTAAAGGGAGCATGTATAAAGTGAACCTGCATAAGTCTGCATAAGTTTAGTTGGTTTAGTTATATAAAAATTCACCCCTGTACAATTGTCATTGAATGTGAAATTAGCCATAGAGACCAAAACTGTTTTTGTACCAGGCTGCAAACATGTTTATTCCTGATGTAAAATTGGGCATTTTAACATGGGAGTCTATGCTGATTGACTCCCTTTTGGAGTGGCCATTTGAGGAACTGCAGGATTTGGCACTTACATTGCTTTTCCGTTACTGGTGAATAGATATAACAGTTGCTGACCAGTAATTGGTGTGTTCATCCTCAAATAAATGTCCAAAAATAATGCCTGCACAGAGAGCAGAGCGCTATCAAATGCCTCGCAATAATTATATAGTATGTGTGTCAAGTAAACATCACATGCTGAAAGACATGATAAGACTCATAACACTATAATCCTTTTACTGCCTCTGCTTTTACATTCTGGGCTGTGGCCTGACGCAGAGGATGAGAACCACATTGACTGACTGGTGTGGTCATGGAAAAATACACAGCCCACTGGCTACCAACATCAAGGGCTCAGGGGTGAGGTGGCCTGAGAACTGATTTAGGATCAGTTTGCTTTCCCTGAGCCTAAACATCAGCCATCAGTGTTACATAACTCTCCTGAGCAGCTTGAACCAGGACAAGATTAAACATGTAGTAGCATATTCTAAATT